TAGAAAAAACCAATGAGTTCACATATCTCGGAATGACTTTTGACACAAAGCTAGCGTGGAAACTTCACATTGCTAAAATAGCAGAACGAGTCTCCAATAGACTGAATGTACTGAAGCGTCTTGCTGGTAGCGTATGGGGCTGTGCGCGCTCAACTCTAAACACCACTTACAAGATGTTTATTCAGCCAATAATGTTGTATTGCTGTGAGCCACTCATTACAGCCACAGAGGTGACTCTCAAACCGCTCGAGAAGGCACACAACCAAGCATTACGACTAATTACTGGAGGGATAAAATCAACACCCATTGATGCAATGCTCCTAGTTACAGGAAGCACCACAATAGGTTCCCTTATCAAAGAAAAGGCCTTGATCCTGTATGAGAAGCTACTGCGCATTCCCATGGACAAGTTCTTCAGCACCTATGAGAATAGACCAAGACACCTGAAAACGCAATCTGGTCTAATACAGAAAGCCATAGAACTGAAGAAAGCATTACAAATCGATGACAAACCAAAAAGCCTCTCTCCCCCCATGAACCCATTAGCAGACATTGATGTAGTTGACACACTTGCTAAGAAGGGGACAACGATTTTGCAATGCATGGATCGGCCCTAAAGACAAGTACGGAAAGCCAACAGCAAGAAGACAGCTAATGAATTTCTATTAATTAACTGCTGTAAATGTACCCCCCCCCCCTTCTTGGGGGAAGCTAAAGTCAAATATTAAGGGGTAATGATAAATATCATAAAGCCTGCCATTTGAAATAAATAAATAAATTTACGAATGAGGCCATGTCATATATATCTAACAGATAAAAGGAGTAACATAAAGGAATTTATAGTTTGAATATTTTTATAACAAATTAAAATTAAGTTTGCTTTGGTGTTCAAATACATTCGGGTTAGAATCCTTGACATTAAATATGCGGTTGACAAATTTACACCTATGATAACCTCATATTCTTTCGTCAACTAAAGTTGTATTAAAGTACCACTAACTAAATAAATGATTCAATTAGAAGGCGTTATCTATTTAAAATATCATAAAAATGAATAAAATCAAAGGACACAGGGAAAGATATCTACTAAACGTCACTATTTAAAACCCATAAAAAATTAATTAATAACAAGTACATAAATTTAAATAAATCATTTTTGAAGAAACCTTCAGAAAAATGTTTAAAAATTCATAATTTGATTAAATGTAAATTCTTTGCATCAGCGTATGGTTTGGAGCGGCCCTCGAGCATCTTTTCTTGCGATTTTCACGTTGAAATGACAAAAGTGAAGTATGTTGGCAGACCATCTTTGAACTTCTACGGAAAGTATTTAAGCGAAATAGCTAGAAATTTACGCAACAAGGGTGCTGGTCGTATAGTGGTTAAAGAAAGTGAGGAGCGTTTTTATAAAGAACCGAGTTATTATGTCATTAAAGATATTGAACCACTGATGTCAGACTCGGTAATACATATTCTTGCGTAAATTATTTCTTAAAAATATCAGCGTGCTTGAATTTGGCTTTCTATCAGTCAGGTGTCCGTTGTCGCGCATGGGCCGAACGCGTTTTTCGTGGACACAACTTCGGAGTAGTACCAGTACCTAAATCCCATGAACCAGATTGGCGCCTTTTGAGTCTCGAGGAGGGCAGAAGGCTGCAGGAATTGGCTGCAACGAAAGAGGCTTGTGCAAAGGAAGTGCCGATGAAATGTGTGGCTCCTATGCCTCCAATTTTAGCAGTAAAACTGAGAAATTTGGGCAAAATTCCTCAGAAAATTGTTGAAGCAGCAAAAAAGGCTTCTCCTCCAAACACGAATGCAGCAGCTCAAGAAGGTAGCGGCTATCTCCTTCTAACCAAACTCTTTGATGACCCTACTCTATTCCAGGTATTCACTTTATTAATTCTTTTATTAAGTCAACTCTTTTATTTTAATGGTGTTAGTCTAATAATTTGTAGTAACTGCCTACATCTCCTTTCAAATTAGTGTTCGTGTATTTACTTTGATTTTCACTGCTTTTGTTAGTTTAATGCTAGTATGGACTACTTTTTTAACAATGGATTAAGTAGAGTATTTCCTTATTGTGTTTCCTGTGGTTTGCTAATTTATTAGCTAGTGTTGAGTTTTCATTTGCGATTTAAATTCATTGAATTGTTTCATTGGGTCACGTTTAGTGAGTTAGAATGTCGCACCTACGAAAATAAGTACCCTTGTCTTGGCCAACATTGAAAGTATTTATATCAAATGGCAGGCGTTTTGATAGTTATCATTAGCCCTGGAGCTGACTTCGGGACTTCACAGAGAGGAGGAGGAACATTATGGTGACAAAAGTCTAGATGGGAGACAGAATAATGATTCACAGAGGTAAAAGAGACAGACAGACACAAAGGCATAAAAAGGTAAGATGAGTACTGTGAAAGGGGTCGAATATGACAAATAGTCTGGCCATAGTGGTTTGAAGTGAGAAGTCAACTGCCGGTTTATAGACTATTTTGCCGTATGTGTATACGTTGCCCAGGGTGCACCACGTGGAGGTAAGTCTATCGCACACCCACAACATTGAAAGTAAAATTTGATTCAAATTCACCCTTCCACCATCTTATGAAATGTCCCTGCTGATTTTATCACTTGTGGGCAGCTTGTTTGCAAGAAAATTATTAACTAGTTAATAATCGTTATAATAGCCCTTTTCATCTTTTAAAGCACTAAATCAATTATCGAGTACATGTTCGCTGGTAGCGCAACGTTTGATAAACCTTTTTCTTATTGTAATCAATAGTCTTATTCTCTAGCTCATGTGTCGGTAACATAGCGGTTAACTTGTTTCTCCTCGGAGTCAGAGTTATTGTGTGGAATGACCATCATCGTTGGTTTAAGCTGGTCGCGGATCGGAGTTTCTTCCAGGCAAGCGCTCCTTTATTCAGGATGCTTATTGAAAGTACTTTCCCATATGGCCTAAAAGTTATTTGGTCTGAATGGTGGTTAATTCTTGGTTTCATGGAAAAGTTTGATTTTCTTATAAAATTAATGCACTTACACAGGTCCCAGTAGAGCCGAGTGAAGAGGAAAAGGGCCGAGTGTTTCCAGAGTACACCAATCAAGTTACGAAGCCCCTGCCGACGGGTCTTATTCGAATCGACGAATTGGCGGAGACCCGAAGCGCCTACTATATCAAGCGTAGTGATACTCCTGGTCTTCGCTGGCGAGTCGAATTGGCCGACACAAACGTTGAAGATGAGCTCCTTCAGCCTTCGTCGCCTCCATCTGAAGAGGAAGAAGCCAGTCAATCAGATTTTTGTAAATAAATTTCACCCACATTCCCCTCATCGTTTTAGTGAATGTATATCGACTTGTGTGTTGAAGTTTCCTTTTATAGTTGAACATCTTTCATCTCCTATCAGGTGTGCTCGGGACTATTGTCAGGGATTTTAGTATCAGAGTTGAAAAAATGTTAGTAATTCTAGTTGCAAAAATGGATAATCTGCGCGAGTTCTATTATATAATTTATCCTTGCAATATCTCGACTGCCGTCAACAGATGATTGTAGCTTCCCAATAGGAATGGGGTGGGGGTGGGGCGTCTTATATGGTGTTGTGACGCAAGCTGCCATTCATCCGTAGTGTGTCTTCTGGGACTGTGTAGTTTAGTTGATAGCAGTTTGCCCAGTTCTGATTCTGGTTTCTTGCTGCTGACTGGTGCGGACGGCTCATTGATGACGTCTCAAAGGCCCTCGGAGGACGCATGGGACTGGTTGTTCTGTGCTATCATTAAGGGCGGGTGGTCTGGCACTTATTATAAACGATGAAGTTCGTGAGTCACTTGTAGTAGCAAGTAACGGGGGCGGGGGGAACTGAGGTAGGTAAAACTGTTAGGTAGGCCAGACGGGAATATTTGGTCTACTTCAAGGATAGAAGGGATAGTTGGTACATACATGTTAGGCATTCCCTAGAATTGGGAGGTCTTTGTCTAGTTCCGGTTTATTTCCCTTCTCAGCAGTGGCATCATAAAGGTGAATAGCCGCTTAAGCAATTTCAGCCAATTAGGCTGATCTTCAGGACTATAGAAACCAATGAATAGAGAAAGCTGTCATTTAATTTAAATAAAATGTAATTACCTGGCCAATATGCTGAGTGGCACTTGGGCCATCAGGAAGTCGAACAACTTCGAGCAGACAGAAGAAGGCGCCCTTCCCCCCCCCCCATTTAAGTTAAAGAATTAGGCGGTGTTGATGCCACTATCCCTGTTTCGGGAGAAAAATTCGACTGAATTCCGTTCAATTTTCTAAAATTACATATTTATTTATTTCAAATGGCAAGCGTCTTGGTAGTTATCAGTAGCTCTTTAGCTGACCTCGGGCTTCACAGAGGGGAGGAGGAACGTCAAAGTGGAAAAAATTCGAGAGGGGGGGGGCAGAAGAGTGATTAACAGATGTAAAAGAGATAGGCATACACAAAGGCAGAGGAAAGGTATGGTGAGTACTTGTGGAAGTGATCGAATATGACAGAGAGTGGGGTGATAGTAGTTTGAAATCAGAAGTCGACTGCCGATTTATAGACTCTGTCGTATGAGTAGGTAAGTCTATCGCACATCCCAAATCACATATTACCATCTAAACGCTCGACGCGTGCATGTATGCCTCTCTTGTCAGGTCAACATTATTTTGAGACATCTTTTCACATTTGTCAGTCCCAAAATGCTCTATACTATTTGAGGTGGTTCATTTAATCACCCAATTTTATAGATTATATACTCCTTAAGCAAATAGTTAGCACTTGAATTTCAAGGCCACTTTGAGACTACTCAAAGGCAGATGCCATAAAGTGTTCATTATGCGAATGCTAGCAACTTCCTTCTGTTTGTTCAATGATTGATGGACTGAAGGAGGAAGTATTTCCACATTTGACGGCGTTGCGTGCGCACTCCACTGTTCTCAACAGGCTTCACTTTCCCCAACATATCATTGCAACGACCTCACATATCAACATACCGTGTTATTATCATAATTATGTTAACTGGTAAGCACAATTAATCGCAATACAACGCATTCTAGTACTCTCTATAACTCCAAATGAAAGACAACGCTTCAAAACTGGCACGTGGATAAGCTACGCTCCAATGTGTGCAAGTGGGAGAGTTCAGTTCCCTTTAACTTCGCAGTTAAGTACCGAATTGAAATTTTCAGTAAGGATGAAGTTGAATGTGAGTTTGCTATTAGTGGAAGGCGAAAAGTGAGCAGTCAGGAAGTGGTGAAATGATGGGAGGAATTGAGTAGAGGTGGAGGCTCGGGACTGGAAGGCTAGCTGGAAACTCTTTCGCACCTGTTCTCTCGTGGTAACTAACTTCAATTAAAGTTGTCAGAGTTTGTTGCGTGAATGCCTTCGTGGTCCAAACTGACATGCAATGACAGTTGTCCCCTCCCCTACATCTTCAAAGAAGGCTGCACACTCCTGACGCAGTGGACTCGGAGTGTAGTCTGGTGGATAAGATGAAGCAGTTTATCCAAGTAGTGGAAAAGAAATGAAGGTATGCAACTCCCATTCGCACTAACTCTATCATGAGTTATTTACAACTTTATATGATTGCAAGCGGTGATCTAAAGTTATGGGATCGTTGGTGAGTCTACCGATGAGAACTTGGAAGATGTTGGTTAATTGGCTCAGGTTTGCTGAGCTGGTGAGGAGTTTGGGATTCGAGGTGTGGCTCCTACAGTTTGTAACATAATCATTTGGAATGAGCCGAGGAGATTTAGGAGATTTGTGGGCAAACTCACAGCTCACTGTGTGTGCGTGCGTCCGTGTTTTGTGTGAGTGCATAAAGTCCACTGCGAGATTTTCAATGAATGGTGGACTGTCCCAAGGACCTTTTATTATCCAATTGCGTAAAGGCGCACAAACGGCAGTGGTACCTTTATATGTGAAAAATTGGGTGTCCGATAGACTTACCTCCACGTGGTGCACCCTGGGCAACGTACTTTCAAATGGCAGGCGTTATGATAGGTATCATGGGGTGTGCAATAGACTTACCTCCGTGGTGCACCCTGGGCAATGTATATTAGACTTACCTCCACGTGGTGCACCCTGGGCAACGTATATTAATACGGCAAAAAGCCTATTAACCGGAAGTTGACTTCTCACTTCTAACCACCATCATCTCACTCTATGCATATTCGACTATTTCACAGTATTCACATCACCTTTGTTCTACCTTTGTGTCTGTCTCTTACATCTTTGAAACACTCTTCTGTTCCCCCCTGTCGACTTTTTCAATTCGATGTTCCTTCCCCTCTGTGAAGCCTGAAGTCAACTAAAGGGCTAATGATAACCATCAAAACGCCTGCCATTTGATATAGATAAATAAATATGTGAAATATGTTTCCACAGTAAAATGTAAAGAGAAATGACATTTCCCGCCACGAAAACTGTAGTTGGGGCGTGTTGGCCACTTGCGTGATGAATGAGATCACTCGCTTTCGTGCATGCATTACCGTCAGGCTTGGTGCTCAAATAAAACTGACATTTGGGGCTATAAATTAACCAGTGACAATTAAAGGTAAGGGGGTTGGTGATTAGGCATGTGCTCTTTCTCCTCTTAAAAATTGTGTCCATTTTCGTATCTCTGCAATTCCCTCGGCTAGTAAAGTCTTGCTGCCCTTTTCACGAAAGAGAATTTGACTCAAATGAGTGCAGAGATTGAAAATGAAAACGGCGCCTTTTCGGAAATGCCAATCTTACCAACGATAATTCCGCCGCTATCAACTCCTTTCGAGTAATTACAGGAAAGTGAGAATCTGGAAGAGAAAATTGCTACCTCTATACGGAGAGTTCTAGATTCAACCCTCCGGGATTCCAATTTTTATACCTCATTTGCTTTGCTATAAGTGTAAGCAACTCACTCCATCTCCCTTACTACAATTCCAAACTGCTGAAAAATTTAATGCTCAGCCGAACTTCAGAGTTGATAATTGAATAGGCAAATATTGTGCTCCATAACCTTCATAGCATTTGCCCTTAATATTTATTTATGTCAAATGGCAGGCGTTTTGATAGATACCATTAGCTTTTTAGCTGAATTCGGGCTTCACAGAGGAGAAGAGGGAACAGAAGAGTGTTGCAAAGATGTAAAAGAGACCGACACAGGTAGAAAAAAGGTGACGTGAGTGCTGTAAAAATGATCGAATATGACATACAGTGGGGTTATGGTAGTTTTAGCTCAGAAGTCAATTGCCGGTTTATAGATTTTTTTGCCGTATGAGTATAAGTTGCCCAGGGCACACCATGCGGAGGTAAGTCTATCGCACACCCCACACCTTTAAAGCATTTGCCCTTAATATAAGCAAACAAATAAAATACTTATCTCCACTAACATTCTTTAAAGAGAGTTCTTAATAAAATTATATCCATTTCTTTTCAAATTTGTTTTGTTGGATTTGTTCCTAACTGCCAGTGACGACAACCGAGTAGCTCTTTCAAGTGGAATGCAGGTTACATTCGGCAGTAGTTGGGCCTAAAGAGAAGTCAGGAGGAAGTCGTCCATACGAAGGCAAATTCGTTCCAACTTTGAGCGCAACATCGCGCCAAACATGCAAACAAATACGGACATGCGTAAATACGCCGTCTTGGTGTTTGACAGAAAGGGGAACGAGATGGTCGAGGTGACCTCCTGGTCAAGAATTTTTTTCCTGAACCAATCATGTTGCCTCTCCTGGTGAAACTGCTCTAAGCCCAGAGAGTAAAGCCAACCACTACGCCAAATCCGTGCGATTACCGGGTGGGTGACACTATTTTAAATAGCGGATGGGCTTTTAACTACAAGTGGCATTTTCCGATATTCCAATTTTGTACCTAAACATCTACCCAGAGCGTTTCTCTTTACCTCCTATTGAGGCCTCACATACATGCGCCTTCTTTACAGCCATTTTTGGTTGGAGTAAACTTCATAGGCATTAAAACTACGAAGAGGGTATTGCCTTCCAAAGACGAGGCCTTCTTCGTTAAATCTGGAGCATTGGGGCGAGTTGAGCTCATTCGTCACAGTTCGAGTACCAAGAGATCAAAGGAGGGAGATTTTCAAATTATAAACCATACAATACGTGTCAACGGAGGGGCACGTTTTCCTTAGCGTCTCACCAACCACTTTTCCCAGCTCAACTTAGTCACCAACGTACAAATTAGCGGTGACGTTTTTTAAAACTTTTCAAAAACGCATCTTCGATTCCGTATTTATTTTATGAAAATTTGTGGGGAAAAAGCGGTTTTAACTGTCATTTAAAATTTATAAAGTATAGTTAAATGTTTAAGGGAGATCATTTTGCATCATTTTTCTTTTCGGATGAAAACTGTGTGCAGGGTGCTTCTATTTAAAATATTCCTATTGCCGTCAAAATTCCTTATAAATTTTTCCCTTCGACAAGGTTATTTTCAAGCAGTAAATAGAACCTCCCTTTCCACTTCTCTCTCTCTCTCCCTCTCTCTCTCGAAGCGAATATTCCTCCGAGTGCAAAATGCCAAATGGGCAAATCACTGTCGACTATAAATAGCTGTTGCAGCTATTAGAGGTCATAAACACAGCAAGAACCGTTGGTCAGTGTATTTGCACCAAAACATAGTTCACTCTCCAAATACTGATCCCATATTTGGACTAGCCGCACTTTTGAACCCCACCAGCGCTTCTCTGCACTCTCTGACGGTTATTCTCTCCACCTCCACCCCCACCCCACCCTCTGACTCAAATTCTTCAAGTGAAAATAAATGTTACAGGCCTAACTTGAGAGCACACTAATTCACGTGTTTGATATTACCCCCAATTCCTATGGGAGTCTCAAAATAAAATTGCTTTTATTTCCCAAAAGGCCACGGTGAATGCGTAATTTAAACTTTTCGCAAATTTGATATTTCATACCTAAGGGGCACCAATTAAACACACCCTAACTAGGGGGCGGGCGATGCATCTTTAAATAAGTCGAATGGTCACATGAGTTAAATGCACATTTTTAGGATGGTGCACCCTCTTATCAACCCCCCCCCCCCCCTCTTATGATGCAAGAAAATGCACGCACCGAGGTGAATCATAAATCTCAAGTGACTTGGAAGTGAAGCGATCCAAATGGCGAAAAAATTTCAGCCAACAAAAATGCGGTGTGGCTGTGCAAGCAGTTTGCACTCAACGAATCAGCTCTCGCCTATTTCAACCTATCGAAGTAGTCTTTGCCAATACGAGAGGATTGGCAAAGCCTGGTTAGAGGATATGCATGACGAAATCAAAGGGAGACAAAGCGCAAGATGTGAGACAAAATAGAGTAGGTGTTGAATGCTTTATTGGAGGAGGAAGTGGAGAGACGCGGAGTGAATACTGGCTGAAAGTAGTAATTAAATTACAATGGCGGATGTCAAAGGCATAAAGAAAACACATAATGATTTGCAAATTTATAGCGAAGTAGAAGATTAGCATTTTAACTTCTCATTTCTTCAAAAAAACTCTCCCCCCCCGTTTCATGCAAAAGTACATTCCACTCGTACCTTCAGGCGCGTCCTTGTCCAAGGACTCGTACGAAGTGGCTATGCGTTGCAACGCGGATATACATGCAAGCGTACGATGCCCTCGAAGCCACATCGGGATTTAGTCAATACTATTCGGCCTTGGAACTGATGTGAGATGTTAACTCTTTGACATAACTTCTAACTTCATGACCTTCACTCTTGTTTCGCCAACTCCAACTAATTGGCGACCCTGTGAGTATTCACTTATCTGCACAACAATTGCTGCAACATGTTCGGTTGGCTTAAATGCCTCTCACCCACGGTGCAATCTAATTCAAACTGTTTAGACGTCATTCATAACAATAATAATTACTATTATTATTATGGCTATCATAGCAAGTGCTGGAATGGCATTAGTTTACGCGTCGTCTTCAATTCATTCACGCGAAGCCAACTGAGGGCAAAGGACGCAAACGCGGTCACCGATTTCCCATCTTCGTCATTTGGACGTTAAACGAGGTCTTCAAACTTCGTCAATCAAATAGGTCGATCTCTAATTTGCCTAAAACCTACCACTCAAGGTTTAAAAAAAAACATTTACACAATCAATCACTGCCTCACTCTGATCCATTGAGTCCTTCCAATAATTCTATCCATATTAGCGACGAGAGGTAGCTAGCCTTAACAAATTGAGACTAAAATAGGCGTGGAAATTGAAATAAAAAATTTTCTCTAGCAAAGAGAGTCCAAATGTCATCCTCAAACGCATTTATTGCAGGTAGATGGCTGAAACAGTTTACAAATGGGCCATTTGCATGAGAGACAATAATAATGAATCAAATGCATTAAAGTGCAAAGCAATTTAGACAGTTGGCTTCACTTTCACGCGTGGAGGCTGATCGGAAAGAAATCTGCTGTGAAATAAGCAAAATAGTTGGACTAATTTGACCACACTCTCATCAAGCTCCTGAATGGTAAGACCGATACTTACAAGGCCAAAGTGGCATATAACCCTGCAACCCCGGATCTTTCAAAGCGAAGAGCTCAACCACCCGACAATCAAACGTATGAGCGGAAAGGCTGATTGAAAGCAATGCCAGCAATCTGATCTAGATCGCCACTACTAAGCTCTTATTTCTTTCATCTTCAGATTCTGGCTTCAAAGAGACACCGATTGTGCAAGGGAATAGGGTTGCTCATTGAGTTTCCTACAGCTAACAGTAGCAACCAACTCAACTCGACTAACACGCCCCCCCCCCCACCCTCCGTTTCAACTAGTACCACCCAACACACACATATTACAAGTGTTTTAGCACTCTTCTTGAGTGGGAAGGGGGTGGGGGTGGAGGCGACACTCGTTTAGACGATCGCATTTCCATGTATAACTAAATGCTGTTAAAAATAAACAACACTTTGCGTTAACACCACTACCCCCCCCCCCCGGCCACTACAGCAAACAGCCATTTCATTGCAAAAAGGCGCAGGAAGAGGGGGAGAGAGAGAGAGAGAGACGAACATGTGGAGCAAAAGTCGAAGCGCGTTTTATCCATCCACTAACGCAGTGCGCGTGCGCGCGCGCGTTCTGAGGACACACACACACGCACACACAGGGAGGGGAGAGAGGAGAGAAGTGTAAGTGAGTGAGTGAGAGTATTAGTATTGAAAAGAGAAGTCGTCTTTTACACAAGCGGATGGAGAGAGAGAGAGAGAGGGGGTGGCGGGGGCGGGGGCGGCGGGGAGGAGAGAAAAAAATCAACTATATAGACGGGCAGTGGTTTACACTTTCATGCCTCTTTGCGTGCACAGAGAGGATAGCATAAAAGTAAGAAGAAGAAGAAGACAGGGGTTGAGGGAGGAAATTCGGAAAATTTTACTCGAAATGAGGACTAAAATCATCACAGACCATCAGCATCATCACTATTGAATATATCGACAGTTCAGGGAGTGGGGCAAGGGGTGTTCTACTAAGTGGAAGGGGAGGAGGTTCGTACGAGACGAACGAGACTCTGAGTGACGGCTTTAAAATCGTCTGTTGAAGATGTGGGAGTATTGTTTGGGGAGAGGTGTTTGAAACGTGTTACGTAGGAGGATGTCCCAAAGACATGGCACACTTCAGCCATCACTCGTACCCTCTGACGCACTTTTCCACCTGTGAGTTCCAATGTGGGGCCAGCAACAGCAGCAGAGGTTGAATTGCAGCCGGCAGAGGGTGGTGGAGAAAAGACAAACTGAAGGAGATACTTTCCAGGTCGGGCAAAGTGGATGCGTGAGGTGTTGAGCGCGGAAATCAACTGATTCATCAGCCGGTCCGGATTGGATCCAAAGAGGGACGCATTGGTGGTATCTGTGTTGGAGGTGTTTTCTGATTGGGAGGTCGTGGAGGAGGAATGGTGAGACGAAGCCGCTGCTTTCCGCCAAGTGCCCGAAAAAATGGAAATATTACGAGGTTTCTTGTCAAAGCAGGCAGGTAGCAGGGGCTCCAAACTGTTGTTCAAATCTGCAGTAAAGAAAGTATCGTCATCACTTATTGCAACACAGCCAAACAACAAGGGGATAAGCACAGCATGAGATCACACACCTTCAAGTCGGCCACGCTCAGGCAGCATGGGACTCCAGGGATCATCCACAGAGACAGCATTGCCGGTGGTGTTGTGGTGATGTTTCCTCTCAGCGGTAGAATGCGCTCTCTGGTGGGCAGGCAAAGGAGAGCCATCGGCTACTGAAACCTGTCTCCCGGAGGAGGCGAAGGCCTCGTCTACGCCGTTACCCGCTGGTGGACCTCGACTTGGTGTTGCCCTCGAACTACACACACACACACACAACAAAAAGGTAAAAACACCATCCAATAATCAGCATCCGCCTTACAAGTAGCAGCATTGAGTGGTGATTAAGGGGAATTTATCCCCCTTATGTGCGAACTGAGGACAATTTGGATGTGAACAAGGGAAAGGGAACTAAAGCAAAGCGAGATGGCTGTTATTGCTGCTGCAGAAACAGAAGAACAAAAAACAGAAAGACATGAATCTAAAGCGAAAATGCAATCAAGCCTTTGCCTTGCCTTGCCTGACTTGAAGAGGGCAATGCACTTTTGGGAACGGATCGAGTGAAAAATGGAGGGATGACGTAATATGTTATAAATGAGGGATAGTTCAGATCATAATTATTGCTGGGGAACCACTTTCCCTGGCGATTATGGCCTCCACTTCAAGTGAAGAGTCATCTCAAACGGCAGCAAACTGGTGATGTCAACTTCAAGGAATTCAACATTTCCTCTGGTTTGTCCAAAGCCAACTGATTTCTTACAGCCTTAAATAATGGAAACATTTTATAAATTTGACACTTTTTTCCATTTCATGAGTAAGCGCAGTGGCCCTCACATTTGGTCTTATGTTTGTTCAATTTGAGACATAATCCCTACAACCCTGCTGTAGAGGAGGAAACCGTGGATTTCATATTCAAAGCGCTGGTTCGTATGAAGGGGGAGGTGGGGTGGGGGTTAAGCCGAGTAAGAAAAGCGGTTTGAGGTAGAGAGCAGAGCAGAGAAGAGACGAGTGGGGGGGGGGGGGGGAGCAGGAGTGCAACTAACACACAAAAAGAGGAGAAGGACGAGGTGGAAAAATAGGAAAACGAAAAGCTACATCTTCACTTACTGCGAGCGATTTCTTTTGCGATGGAAGCTGCAGAAGAATAAGATGATGCAAAAAAATGCGAAAAAATAGGTGTAAACAACTGCAGATCTTAATTTGCTTCAGCCTTCATAGCAAGCGACGCCGTGGAGATAGAAGGCCCAGAATTTTTACCATCAAGAGGCAAAACACCTTCATGTTTCTCAAGTGTTACTAACCCGTTTAATGGTTGCAGTCTGCTTAATACTGTTTGATTAAGAAATAAGAAGAGAGTTAAGAAGTTAGCAACAAACGCCATGCATACAGGGTTACGCCAACTGTACGCTTTGGGGCCTTAGAACCGATTTCTCTCCCGTGATTTGGGTCAGAACATATTTTTGAAAGAACACATCAAAAAGTCAAGACAAGTAGGGGGGGGGGGACAAAGTACCTTTTGCTGAGTCGAGAGGAGACAGATCGGAGAAAAGAGAACGAGGAGGCGGCGGAATGGTACTCAGTTGGTTTCGTTGTCACCCGGACTGGCGATTCAGCCGTCCCATCACCACCACCACCATCATCATCATCAACATCATGACTATCTTCAGTAGACTGCCGTTGAAGAGGAGTGTTAGGAGGGCGGAATCGCTGAGAATGTTCCAGCGCGGGTTCGAGAGCGGCGGCGGCTTTGCGATCGCGAGTGACGCGGGAAGGTGGCGCTGTGGACCGATCGGGCGCACCTCGCATGAAGGCCGGAACGGTGTTGGGTGGGGCTCCGGAGAGCACTGTGTCCGCCGCTTCAAAACGAATTGTTGATTGCTGTGGCAACTTCTTGTTCTCCCGGTCCTTCTTCCTCGACATACTCCTATTCGAACGAAAATTAATGCAAATTATACACAACTGGAGTTAATTAAAATTGCGCTGATCAATTCACCAATCTCACTCAATGCAACCTGTTAAACCCAATGACGAAATTATTCACTCCTCTAAAGATGATTGAATTTCTCCCACCAACTTCTCATCACACTAATTTCAATTGAACATAAACGTATCAAATTAACCCGATTTTATAATCCAAAATGGCTTGAAGATTTTAAACACTGAAACTATTCAGGTGGCATTTGCCAGCTTCTATTACACATCAATTCTGATTCTTCTAACACACTTCCTGAATAGACCTTCAGCCTCTGGCACCAACCGCCGTTGCCAAGCAAGCTTTTAAACCAGAAGCAAAAGAAAACTGAAATTAGACCAGTTAGTAGTGATGGAGCCTACAAGACGAATGTAGCCCCTTCTGGGAAGACATTCCTCTTGATTTCGTGTTACTGATCCAATCGACACAACCCCCTTCCCCCCCCCCATCCCCCTGCTAAAACCCACCCCCTCTCATCCTTTTGTTATTCGAGAGCTCACAAAATAAAACCCAGAGGGTAGTGGTTTGATTGAGCACAGCCTAAGAATGGAATAAACTCCGTGCGGTTGCCGCTGCTGTACATTCTCCTAAGATGTGTATACCGATGATTGGTTAGGGGAGGAAATCTAATTATCTTTCACACTCCAAGCCCCCCCCCCCTGCGCCATAATTCGGTAATTGAAATTACCTTCCCCCCAGCACTGTAAACAAAAAAGCGAGTGAAAAAAGGAAATTACCTTCGAACGCGTTTCCAGAATCTGCAAGCGTCCAACGTTTCATCAAGGAGAGTCGCAGAGGGGTTGAATTAAGAAAGAGGAAAAAGAGTTGGTGGTCAAAGTGAGTTAAAGATGGGGAAAAAAGCGGGTTTAGCTACATAGTGCAATAAATAATAACAATTTGTGAATGTAACGAGAGAAGGATGACAAACACAGTTGATTGAAACACACTCAATCAAATGGATACAGGCACACACACACACAACACGACACGACACAGATGTGGGTGCTGTTATTAAATCGATTGAGGGCACACACACACGCACGAGTAACGGGGCAACCCACCCACAGAAAAGAGCCGATCCTGTCGTCTCCCGATTGACTTTCCCACCGACGGCAGCACAGCTATCGCTGATAGCACTCAACTCGTCATGACAATCCCCCTCATGATTCGTCAAGCTAATTAGCACACACACACAAACAGATACGAACATACTGTTTATATAAGCAATTGAAATACAGTAAATGCTCTGAGTTGATTCGATTAATAAAACAAAAATTGCCAATCACCTATGCCTTCTCTACTTGTGGTTTGTGATTTGGACTTACGAATCGTGGCGTTTGAGGGTGTTAGAGGCGCTGTCACGAGAAGATTGGCTGGGAAGGGTGGCTGTGACATTGGTGGAGGTGAGACGACGAATTTCAGCAGAACCAGCGGGACGAGTAGTTGAGAAGGGATGCTTTCCTCCTCCTCCTCCTCCTCCGTCAACCAGCACGTCCAAACCGCTGCCAGAATCGTGCTTGTCAACTCCAGACGCATCTTCATCCACTTGACTGCGAGGAAGTGGTGAGAGAAGCGAGAAGGAAAAATTAATGCAACATTTAAGCAGGAAAAATAGTGATAAGGCGGCAAAGCCCAAGAACTCGTTAAACGCGACTTAAGATGGGATTTTAGCAGCCTATGCTGACTGCCATCCATTTATTTGTCTGTAACTACTAGCCGACACGAACTAATTTTGAATAAAATCAAACTACTAGTAGAAAAATACTTTTTTAGAGAATATAGCATTGTTAGTTATTGATTTTTTCCCAGTCGAGAATTTCTTGACCCCCTAATTTCGCTGAATTCTGAGGTGACAAAAAAGGGGGTGGGGAATTCAAATAACAGGACGATTCGGCAATAACCAGTCCCAAAAAAGCCTAAAATTGATTTCAACTTCTAATGTTTGAGCATTAATGAGTTGTTTGATGATAGAACAACACTGGTACTAAACCAGGCTATACAACTCAAGGCTACTTTTTCATTTCCTTCCTATTCATTTCACTGCCAACATTCTTTTGTCAATGCCTTTACACAATAACATTTAGCCATATTCCTCAGGTAAACACATTGATTTTACCATTATCTAGATGAGTTTATTGATTCACGTTTTTCGAAAACTACTTAGTTTTGTTTAAGATTACGTTGCACGCACCTCCACGACCGCCTCCAGTGTCACTTTCTAATACCCCCCCCCCCCCCCCCCAACATGAAATACACAACTTTTAAAGCTTTAAAATGCATTGTGTTCCACTTTCAGGGACTGTCATTTTGCTCCTCTTAGCTGCCACCCACAAATTGTGATTCTGGTGATGCCAACAATTTGGCGGCTACAGAGAGAGAGGGAGAAAGAGAGAGAGAGAGAGATTGACGAGTTGGTTCTTGTTGCTGCAACTAGAGTCTGCTTATAAATGAGTCCCTCAATTGGCACGAATTCCATTGAGCTTTGCAATAAAATGAAAGTATTTTGAGTAGAAAAGTGGAGGAGGGAGAGACACATCAGAAGCGCCCGAGCATCAAAGGGAGGAGGGAGACGACACACGTCATGGAATAATAGGCGCAACAGGGCAAACCAATAGAACCCGAACAACACAAGAGGGGAATCGCAATCTAAGGCTGCATTTTGGACTCACCAAATCTGCGGCGATCGCGCAGGTAGTAAAAGAGAGGGCTTGGGAATAAAAAATTCAATTGTTAGCGCGCACAACCCCACACACACACACACACACACACACGCATCTCCTGCTTTTCCAAATAACAGCGAACGCCAAATAAAACTAACTTTATTAGGAAATAGACACCACTTTAATTTAATGAGAATAAAAAAACAAGCTACAAATGAAACGAAAACAAAACTAACAGCACTACCTCCTCTAGCAGGACGCTATCAATCTCACTATTAGAGAACAAATGAAATTAATCAAATAAACAGCTAAGAAGAAAGGCGAGGAATCTTCGATGACACTTACTCGACAATGTTATCCATGTTAGGAGCTCGAACAAGGGCTTTTGAGGAGTCGTTATCACTTGCAGCAATACCAGCTGCACTACGCCTCTTGTCCGCAGAAGTGAAGGTCCGAGTCCGCCGGACGCCAGTACTAGTTGAACTGTTTTTGATGGCAGTGGCCGGAGAACGCTCCTTCTTCGCGGTTGTCGTGAGGGCAGCAGCAGCATCGAATCGTGTCATCGCGATTGCAGGAGCAGCAGAACCTGTGGCTGAGATCTTCGGTTTGTCAAAATGCATTCCTCCAGGTGTTGCTGTTCCTGAATCTCCTGTAGCAGTATCCCTGTATAAGAATAAAAGGACAATCTGTGTAATCCACCTATCCAGTGTGCATTCGTTGGCCCATTCAAACAACCCTGCACACACACGTGAACCATATACACTACTTCCACGGTACACAATCTCTCTCCCTTCCCCCCCCCCCACTCTCTCACTCATCTCATTCCTCTGCGCCCTCTCCTCGCACCCAACAGAGGTCGTCTCCACCTTCCATTGCCCATGCTCTTAAAAGATAGTTCAGACTATAAAGCACTCGACAACACGCTAGTAGCTTATCTGCTACTTGAATTTCTATCCAGTCTATTGAAACAAAAAAGAACTTGTGCATGTTGATCAGAAAGTCGTGTCTCTCTTGTTCACCAGAACGACATTTTCTGCCACTTCATCATCTTGCGTCTCCTAAATTAACTTGCGAAACTCGAGATACTTTGTACCAAAAGAAGCTATGAAGACTGTCGCTTAACGAGGTCACAATTTGAAAAAGAGAGGAGGAGAATATTCCATTCAACCCCTTGCTTTTCTCTGGAAAAGAGTATTCAAATACAAAAGGTCGTGGCACTTATTGACAAGCATACGCCCCCTATCAATTAGAAAGGCTCGGATTAGGTCAGAGCTGTGTCCATTCCCCCCCCCCCCCCCCCCACCTCGCGCCATGAAGATGTCAGTAGGGGAGGGAAAAGGCTGAGCTAGATTACCCAAGTCACTGTAGGGATCAAAAGGGGAACAAAAGGTGCCCTATTATGATGTTACCCTGGTAACTATATTTGACTGATGTCTCATTTGGTCAGACTGTAAGCTTCAACATAAATAAGAAGCACCTTGATCTCTTATAGCGAAATATGACTAAGAATGTTTAAGCTATTATATGTAGTTCTTCACATCGGAGTAAATTGAATTCATGGGCATCTTGTCAAAGTACCTTTCCATTGATGATAATAGAGTTATTTGCGTCAAAACTTGCTGGGGGTGGTGAAGATTGAACGGATTTTGCGTCCTGAGGCAAGATACAAACAAAGATAATCGTTTATCCACGCAAACTCACTCTATCTTTTGAGGCCAACCAGACTTCTGCTGTTGTGGGTGTTTGGCTTTGGCGGCAGTGGCGGAAGGAGAAGATTCTGAAGTGGAATTATTTTCAGTGGATGGAGGAGCTGCCGATGCTGAGGTGGACACACCAGCAGATCCATTCGCCCGTTGTGTAGTTGTCGACGAATCCTTCCTACGCACAGAAGTGGAGGACACCAGCACTTGGGGGGTATCTATATAAGGAAGCCAATAGTAAAAGCTAAAGCAAAAGCATTTCAGCTCAACAGATGTGGTGGAACGAATCCAATACCATCTTTTCTCACTACAAAACAACTCAACTTCAACTAACTGCCTGGAACAATAACAGTAGATCATCTAGAATCTCTTAAAATGACCTTGTCGAAATTGAGACAGATCTTGCAGAACAGGCAAAAAGAGAGACTCAACGAGGTGGGGGGGGGGGGGGGGGCCACATTATCAATTTCAAGTGGTTAGGTGGTTGGAAATAAAGTCAAAGACCATTTTACGGAGCTGTTTCACTAAGCTAAATGCGCGTCTTGGTAGAAGTGCCTAATGCCTTCTAGTAAAAGTGCAAGAGGCCAAAAGGAAAGAGAAGAACAGGGGCAGTTTAACACGTGTGCGTGCGCGCGCCTGTGAGGTCATTTGCATGTGGATGTGTGTGTGTGTACGTGAGGTGGTGGTGGTGGGGGGTAAACAAACCGCATGTCTTCTGCACTGATTTGAATTTCAATTACAAATGCAAAAGTTAACTGGACCATTGTAGGAAAGCTTCCTCTGCAAAATTATATTCTTGGCCTTTCTTCCGAGTGGGAGCAACTCTCGAACACATTCGAAAAACATCGCTTTTCACACGACAACGTATTCGGCTAATGATTAAATTTGGTGTGAAAATCGACCAGTGAAAATACAGGCGATTACCACAATAAAAAAGCCAAAAATCCTTAAAAAATCGAACCAAAAATAAAAAAATGGATAAAAAGACGATTATGGACGAACACTGACGAACTAAGGTCACCAAATACAAAAAATAAAACCCTCCTGAACCCCCCCCCCCCCAGCAAAGCCCATTCTACCAATGGAAGCGATTAGACCATATCTTAGAGATATCCGGCTAGTAATACCTGAAAAGATGGAAGTTTACTCAGCACTTCAGAAAAGGTAAATTACTCTCACCAAACAACATTCCACCACATGTTCACAAAGGTTGAAAAAATTAAGGGGGGGGAGGTTAGAGGCTCACTCACCAGGAGCTTCAGCTGAAGAATCACAATTGGTGCAAGCCGTGGAAGAGCTCTTGCTCGCTGCCGGCGCGACACCGAAGGAGATGGTGGCCTTCTTCTCCCCATCTTTGCTTTCAGTGGTAGTAGCAGCAGTGGTGGTGGTGGTGGCGGTGGCGGCGGTGGGAGAGGATGAAGAGGACGGAGCGGTTCGATCAGTGCCAAGAAGGAAGTACGTGGCAGTCACGTTGTTAAATTTGTTGTTCTCCAGGGAGTCTTTTATTTCCTCCAATGCGAATCCCATCTCCTCCATTTTCCCTACACACACACACACACACACACACACAGAAGGAGAAAAAGACACCAATAGAGAAGGAGGAGGAGAATGAGATTGGGGTGGGGGGGGGTTAGAGTCCTTTCGTCTACGTGCCTATTCGTCTCATCTTAATTTGAATTGGAACAGGAAGAGATTAGACAGCCAAACCATTAATGCTATTGTAAAGCAATATGTATCTGTTTGAAAGACAAAAAAGGAGCTATTGGAAACAGGATTAGAAGACGTAATAAGTTAAAGTTTAGTGCACACACAAAACGTGAGGCTATAGAAAGTGAAAATAGCAAACTATTATTAAGTGAAAGAGGAGAATGTGTATGATCATGATTGCAATAAAGTTATTTAAGCTTCACTTTATACAAAATTAAGTAGGGGAAAAAATGTCTACACCCTAACCCTCCAATAAGTAAGGCTAGTTGTTTTTCGAGGGAGAGAGAGAGAGAGAGATGAGAGAGGACTGGGTGGTCGTACAGCTGTGCCTCCGTAAAAACCTCTCAAACAAGTGGCAAAGAAAGCTGTGAGAACTGCACTCCCCCTTTACACACACACACACAGGACAAATCAACCAATCGAAGTGAATCCTGACAGTACTCAGAGACATTGATAGAAGAAATCAGCCAGGATGCACTCAGATGTCCCAAGCAGAGCCAGCAATCAATTTGGAGAGGGGGGGGGGGGGGGGGGGGGAAATGGAGAGCATGGTTTTGAGTTGGCCCACATGCACAAGTAAGTGGCAGAAAAAGGACTTACTCAGTCTGACAGGATCATTGTAGTCGGCAGGGGGTTCTTGGTAGGGCTGAAGGGGAGTGTCATCCATTCCAATGTTTGTCCACTTGTCCCCCATCACATTCTACAATGGGGTTAGTCAATACAAATAAACCGAATTAAGTAAACGGACTTCGGCTTATCTATGCTCCGTCTTTTTGTGCCGGAACACAAGTGTCTAGTTTAAAAGTTAATCTAATTTTGTTCAGTTGCAAGTAAATAAAACACTCCTGTTTGACGCAGGAATTATTCGAACCAACTTTACAGTTTGCGAGGACAGATTTTCCTTCAAATTCAAGAATGAGCGTGAGGTTATCGAAGTGGCTGAGTTTTCACTTTGATAAGCAAGCAATCACTGCTTGAGAAGAACAGAGTACATTCTAGTTACTTGAGACCGTGAGTCGTCCTAAGACATCGATTTCTCATTTGATGAGTAGAGATGATGCTCAGACAACTCTGCCATATTCCTCGGAGATTTTACCTCATGTCATATAAAAATCGTTATTTCTGCCACCACCCCTCCCCCCACCACAACGGATCTCCCACCACGCGCTGTTGATAAACAAGTAGACAAACTGTCTAATTGGGTGGCGAGTGAATAGTAGAGATGGCGTTTGTGTGTGTGTGTGTGTGCCTAGTCATCATATGTTGGAAGGTAACTGACGACACCCATTTAGGTGATTAAGCTAGCAATATGAAGAGCACTCGTGCACTGAGAAACCCTTCTGATAGATAGATAGATACTTAAAGTGTACCTATCTCACACACGCACACGCACACACACACACACAAGCATACTCATGAAAAGGTGTTTTCAATCAAATACTTGAACAATACCATGTCATTATTCAATTAAACCATCAATAAAATGATCCCCGGTACATGACCAACCAAAGGAAGCACACACACACACACACACACACACACACACACACACATAACACACACACACACACACACACACACACACACACACACAATATTCGCCTCTGCAAAGAAAGGGGCCATGGCCGCCCATTGAGGAGGAGGAACTCACAAGGAGGGAGTAGCGCTTCTCGGGATTGAGAACGAGCATCTTCTTGAGTAGGAGTTCACAGTCGGTTGACATGAAGAAAGGAATTCGATATTTGCCGCGCAGTACCCTCTCACGCAGATCCTGTTTCAAAAAAAAGGGGTAAGAGAAAAAGGAGGAGGAGGAGGAGGACGCGTAAAAGACAAATTCGGTTGGCAATGGCTCTCAGCTCATTTTTACTTGTAATACAAATTAGTGAGGAAGTGGGCATTAATATCTCCTGAGTAGCAAAGAATGGTGGCGGCAGACATCATCGCTCCCTCCTTCTAATAACTGTGTACCACCTTATAGGCAAATGCAGCTGCCGCCAAAATGTGAAAAAAAAACGAAAACGTACACATTGGAGGACTACTGTAACATGTCAGCACATGTAGCCCCCCCCCCCTCCCACCACCACCACCACCACCACCTGTTCTCAACCTCTCAAGTGATTTCTGGTCATCAGGGTTGCGCGCGCATGCCCTCTCTTTCTCTCTCTCACACTCTCTCACTCTGCCTCACAGTGTGTGGTGATTATATCGAAATGTAGTCAAGTGGTAATAGCGAAGGGGAACTGCAGTTTCTCACACATATAAGAAAAAGGAAAGGCCAAAAAAAAACAGGACAAAAATACCCGGAGGTTCTGGGCGTCGAATGGGAGGTAGCCAGCGACGATTGTGTAGAGAATGACCCCTAGGGACCACACGTCCACCTCAGGACCAATGTACTTCTTGCCCAGGAAAAGTTCCGGTGCAGCGTAAGGCGGGGAGCCACAAAAGGTGTCCAGTTTCTTATCGGCTCGGAAAGTGTTGGAGAAACCGAAATCTGCCAGCTTGATGTTAAAGTCTGCATCCAACAGTAAATTCTCTGCCTGCAAGCAAATAACATAGAAAAGAAAGAGACCCCATAAATTCTGTCAGGAAGATGTGTGTGTCACTAGACGCGATTGAGAAGTCGTGACATGATATGATGAAGTGACCTCATCAAGTGGTTGCCAAGAGAGAGAGAGAGAGATATTGCAAGAGGCTATATGTTCATGTAGTTAATTTTTGAATTCTGGAAAAATTAATTAGGAGCGAAAATTAGCTAGGACTGACGAATTTCGTGAGCACTTTGTAGGAAAAGTAGAAGACGACAATTAAAACAAAACAACTTCTTTTGACACTAAAAATAAATTGCCCTATTCTTCTGCAAACTTTTAAATCGACATCTCAAGCAGCAGCTTCAAGAGGAGAGGATTCACGCAGCTCCTGTCTCTCCTCACCGTCTTTCATAATGGAAAGCTGAAAGGAATCATGTTCACCAAACTGCGGTGCGTTGGCCTTCATCAGCTTCGAAGGTAGCAAGAAAGTTTGCAAATTAGGTCTACTCACCTTCCGCCAAGTCAGGTGAGGAAATCGCTAAATTTGGCAAGGCGTGAATAAATTAGCCAGATCACACACAGGGAACTTGCATTGATCTAAGTTATGGCCTATTTATATTCAGACAAGGGGTGTGCGATAGACTTACCTCCACGTGGTGCACCCTGGGCAACGTATACTCATACGGCAAAACAAAGTCTATTTATCGGCAGGTGACTTCTGACTTCAAACTACCATGACCCTACTGTATGTCATATTCGATGACTTCCACCATACTTATCCTACCTTTTCTCTGCCTTTGTGTCTGTCTATATTTTTAACATCTTTAAACACTCTTCTGTCCCCCCCCCCCTAGACATTTTTCGATTCGATGTTCCCCTTCCTTTATAAAGCCCGAAGTCAACTAAAGGGCTAATGATAACTATCATAAAGCCTGCCATTTGCTATAAATAAATATTCAGACAAGATAAGTAGAAGTAGTTAATGATGGGCGTTGAAGTTCACGTCTGCTGTGGCAGAAACTGACTGGTTAAAAAGCAAATCGATTGATGAACTCCCCCCCCCCTCCTCTAGTTGACATCCAAATGGCATTAAATGACGTTTCAATAGCATAGCACTACTCCTGCACTTCTGGTGTAACATAAAACGTCATCTCACTCTCATATAAGAAGACAAACGTCTAATGAAAGCTAATTTTAGGAATTATTGGAACATCATTGATGCAGAAGTCGCATTTCTCCAATTCCTCGGAGATAATTTCACTAGGGACTCACTTTGAGATCTCGATGAACGATATTCTTCTGATGGCAGTATTGCACAGCGGAAACGATTTGGCGGAATTTGATGCGGGCATCCTTCTCACGCATTCGACCGTTCGACGCGAGGTACTCAAAGAGCTCACCTAGAAGTGGAAAAAAATGAATTCACAGACAAGCCACTTAAAGAATGGAAGTTATGTTTGGCTTTTACAAAGACTGAAGGAGATACCAAATACGAATTCACAATCCCCCCTCAACCTCGAGTTATTCAACAGGGCGGTGGAGCAACAAAAGAAGCAAAGATTTGTAGAAGGCTTCAAGTCCTTCAGAAAGAAATGAAGGGCGAGAGAGGGGGAGAGAGGCGGGGAAAAAACCAATATTTCCCTAACGAAAATGTGTTTATTTAGCCCTGGAGGCGAATAAGGTCATTCAGGAAAGGACAACAGCCTACGAAAGGTTGGAAACGTGGACCTACTACAACTTACAGGAGAAGAGTGATAGGAGGTACACGCACACAAAGCAAAGGAAGAGTGAAGGGTACACAAAACAGAATATACTTTTGGCGAGAGAGAGAGTACATGAAGAGATAAGTACCACCACTTAATGAGAGAGTGTATTGATGGCTGCATTATTTGCCCTTGTCATCAATTGCGAGGTGTGTCAGAGTTGTTGTTGAGTGGGAAAAAAGTGGTGCAACGTTTTGCTGAAACTGTATTCGAATGGGCCAAATGGGATCAAGCGTTTTCAAATTCCACATTGATAGCCAAACCAAGTTGTTGTAAAATGAAGACAAGAAGACATGTGAAAAGTGCATAGATTACTCGTGTGAAGAGAGGTGTGGCTGGAAGCGTAAACACCAATAAAGTTTACGTCCAACAGTGAAATAAAGAAGCCCACAGAGTTCAAGCGTTGATAATATTTGCATCAGTAGAAGGTTCTTTAAAGCTCCAATGGAATGGAGTGACTATTACCATGTCAAACCCACATCACCTTAGCAGAGGAGGCATCTCGAGAGAGAGAGGGAGAGAGGGCCCAAGAACGTTATTTCTTCGCTCAAAGTAGCGCAGCTGGAGACTGACCTCTTATTTACCCAGGGAACCTCTGGTTGGAGAAACAAACAAGAGACTCGAGAGAGAGATCGAATAGAGCAGTATTTGCCCATGTATGCCAATCCGAAGATCGAGATTTCAATAACTCAGTTGAGGCTAAAGCACGTTTGTGTTAATAATACGCGAATGAATTGGCAGAATCGTATTTTATTATCAGTGTGGAAATAAAAGAAAAACATGCAGAGATGATACTTTGGTAATGAGGTCTTCTGACTCATGCGAAATGGCACTTTTAGGTGCCAGCCAAAGGTAGAGACGCGCACACAAGGTGCTGGTGGATCGGCTGGCGCATATGAATTAGTAACGCGAGAACGCGAGGAGGGGGCGGGGGCGAAAGAGCAGAAAGACACCACTGAAGGTGAATTCTCATTGGTCGGCGCCTATTGCTGCAGGCAGCGTAGATTCTATCTCGCAAACAGTAGTAGGTGCATTCTAATAATAACTAATAATGAGACGCAAATATTCGCACTAGAACGTCAATACGACCTCTCCCTCTCCCTCTCGCACTCGCCCCCACCCCCCCTCCCCTCTACTCAAAGGAGATCTTGGAACTTGCCATTGGAGCTGAGAAAATAACTTCCACCCAGTAGAAAAAAGAAAGAAAAGCACACTAGAAGAGACATCAAAAGCCAAGTACATCCAAGAAGATTTTTGATGGAAGCTGCAAATGATACGACTGGGAAAAAAGATGCTGGGCAAGAGGCTGTGGGTATTCTCCCCACGACACGAGATTTTGGTGAATGGATGGAAAACAGAAGTAGATTAGATTGTCTATATAGACTTTGTTAGTTCTGACTAGAACATTAACAACACCACATTCCACTCCACCCCCTCCTCTCCAAACATTAGTAGTCAACTTGGATTTCAGTGAACTCCCACTCTTTTCTTAAGATTAGATCAATTTGTTCCATCGAAAAAGAGGAGGGGGGTGGAGGGGAATGTGAGGGTTTTTCAACCCCTCTTCAAAGCTTTTAGCAGTAACTGATAAGACACAGTCCACTTAATTTTAACACGAAAACATGAACGAATGAATGAATGAAAATGAATAAATGGAAGATACGACTCACCGTTTGCAGCGAATTCCATCACGAGGTAGACGTGGCGGTCGGACTCGATCACTTCGTAGAGTTTCACTAAAAATTGGAGCGAGAGGAAAAGGATCACGATTAGAAACAATACACATATGTCAATAGTGCATTCCCAGAAAAAGGCAAAGATCTAAAAAAAGTAGTTATGTTCTCCCATTCAATTGTCTGAGAAAGGCGCAACTAGATGTCTAACAGTGGGAAAAAAACTATTGACACAAAATCAATGATGCAAAGTTAGATTTCCAGCATAGTTGCGTTGCAGCACACTAACAATCTTCTTGAAGAAGTTCGACTTCACGGAAACCGCAAAGACCCTGTTCCTGATTGGTAAGGAATCAAGTAGCAGGCAGTATTCCCACGGTCTACATGCCAGTTCTCAGTTTGAGAGGGGCGAGGGGGGGGGGCAATATGGACGCATTGAGAAAAAAAGAGACTTAAGGGACGAGATTGGCATCGTATCGCGAAGAATTGAACACGAACTTGGACAAACAAGTGCCCATGCACATGAAACAGAGTCAGCTGTGATCGAGTAGTGACCTCTCTCTCTCTCGTAGATGCACCCATACACACATACACACACGCACACGCGCGCACACTGTACGACAACACCCCGAGGGGCCGGGGGG